ACGCTCCGCCCGCGCCCACACCCCTGGAGACGCCGGGGCTTGGAGTGCCTCAGACCATACATTGACTGACCTGAGAGGCGGACACACACGATAACGTTGTGTAATAATGTACATGTTATGAGTACTTTTCATCATAATCTCAGACCATACATTGACTGACCTGAGAGACGGACACACATGATAACGTTGTGTAACATTTTCTGGCGTCCTGTTGGCGCTCATGCTTTTTAGACTTTGTGTTTATGAGTAAATGAATATGGTCTTGGTCTTGGTTTATGTGGGCGAAATGGTACTGACTGTGAGTGTAGAACTGGGTGAACTGCTTCAGGTATGAGCACAATTCTGTTGGGAAGTTTTTGGTTGGTTCGTCAAGGAAGCAATTGGAGGAGACGGCCCAGTAACGTGGAGACAGAACCAGAGCCTGGACATCAGCCTCGTCCTCCTCCTCCTCCTCCTCCTCCTCCTCCTCCTCCTCCTCCTCCTCCTCCTCCTCCTCCTCCTCCTCCTCCTCCTCCTCCTCCTCCTCCTCCTCCTCCTCCTCCTCCTCCTCCTCCTCCTCCTCCTCCTCCTCCTCCTCCTCCTCCTCCTCCTCCTCCTCCTCCTCCTCCTCCTCCTCCTCCTCCTCCTCCTCCTCCTCCTCCTCCTCCTCCTCCTCCTCCTCCTCCTCCTCCTCCTCCTCCTCCTCCTCCTCCTCCTCCTCCTCCTCTTCAGACTCCACACATTCATCCTCCATCATTTAGAAAGAAAACAAGACAATAACAAATCAAGATCAAACATAACATGTAAAATAATTCACATTATCCTGAATTATATTACTTAAATTACTGTGATTTTAGATTTAAGTATGGAGAACTGATAGAATCCTGACAAAACCCAAAAATCAGATGGCCTGTATGGACACGTTCAAGTCTTTACCGGTTCCTGATCCTGCAGGCGGCGGTCTAGTCGTTGCAGCTGGTACAGATGAAACTCTTGCTGCAACTCGGCAGATTCACTCAAATTCTTTAGCATTTGCTGTGGGATGCGGTCTGGGAAGCAGCTGCCAATCAGGGCCACCACGGCGTTCTCCAACTGCACGTTCCCCTGCGCCAGCAGCCGGTCACCGAGGTAGTACCTGACAGAGCGAAAGAGAGGGCGTCGTCAATGACATTATCAGTGCTCGATTCTGTCGCTTCAGTGTTTTGTCATGTCAACGTTCAGACCTGTAAAAGTGTTCAAAGGTGTTGGCGAGTTCCAGGCCGGACAGGAAGAGCACTGGTTCCAGAAATTGCTGAAGCTTCTCCAGAGTTTCCATGCTCCCAGACGCCGCACCGCTGCCGCTGAGGTGTATCATCTGATCAATGTACTGAGCAAAACGTTCGCTAACCTGCAAAGGAAACCTTCATCACTACCACAACCTGTGAGTAACTTAACTAAATAAGTTGTTAACTTGATTTAAACCATTTTGGATCTTAATTTAATACATGAATGATTGAGAGCTTAGTAAAACCTTAACCCTGAAGACCTACGTGCATTGCTCTGAGGATGGAGAGCTGCAGCAGTGCTGCAGAGAATCCATGTCGAAGAGCCAGAACAAAAGCCGTCTGCTGACCAAACAGTTCCTCCATGGCATTCTTCAGGCGCAGGTACAGAATCCTGTATTTTTCCACAAAATCTGGAAGACTAAAGCTGGACTCCAGGAACTTCTTAACCTAAGGGGTGAAGCCAGTAAATAAAATAGTGCCGATGCATATTTTTATAAGAAATGTTGCATAATGTGATGGTTTTTGTACCTGGCGCTTGACCACTCCCTGCCAACAGAGGGCGATGCCTGCAATGCTGCTACTGCTTTTGACTTTGGGTTTAGTGGAAGAAGAAGAAGAGGAAGAGGAAGCCGTGGCAGCTGATTCTTTGTTTTTACCCTCTTTGCCATCTGTAACAAATGTTAGAGAAATTGGTTAAAAGGAAGTCGAAAGACACAAAGATGAGAATGCAGTGCTGCTCCGTCAATCATCAGCTCAGAAAAAAAAGATTAGCATTGTTGTTACGATGGGTTCAGGCAGCCTGGTGGCCAAAATAAGAGCAGTCCAAACTGAGAGCATCACATGCTCTGATGACATCAGGAGGAGCGTGATGTGTCCTGATGACGTGAGCCAGTACCAGACCCGCCTGGCGTCATCATCCAAAGTGTGATGCATCCTGATGACATCATAAGAGGCGTGACCCATCCTTAAGACAACAGCTTGAGTACAACACATCTTTATGACACCATCAGATGCTTGAAGCTGTGTTTTTCAATTGGTTCAGGCACACTCGCCCCCTGCTGGATGTTCACATCATTCAATCAATTAGTCAAGCGCTTGTAAAATTAAAATGCTGCAGGTCACACCACAGCATATGATTATGGTATAATATTTCCAGACAGAATTTTTGATTTTGCAAGCAAGACACAGCAGGGGGCGCTACTACGACTTTCTGACCTTACGTGGACACATGAAATGTCTCAGAGCAGAATGTAAACAAACTCAGAAGTCAGGGGTTACTCACTCTTGAGTTCTTTGCTCCTGTTAAGACCTTCTGGAAACAAGATACAGTCTTTAAACACAGAGTAGTGAACACGTGCTACAACGAATGCACGTGCACACACACACACGCACACACAACCTAAGTTACACTAGATTTTATTCAGTTCTTGATTTCAAGGCAGACACGCTCATTTACAGCCTTTTCCCAGGGTTAAGACTTTTTTATAATAATAAAAGCTAAAGCACACGATCATCTAGGTTTCAGAATGTCATGCCAAATGAGGCAAATGTTTCCACACTAATTTCATCTAGGTTTCAGAATGTCATGCCAAGGCAAATGTTTCCACACTAATGTAGTCATTCCTCCAAAAAAGAAAAAAAATATCTATATTAAATAATACTACTGGTGTGTTTCTGGTCTATGATGGGGAAATGTTGACGAGTGCTGTGTCTCCTTTTCTCTTACCGACATCTGAACATGTCCAGATGAAGGAACAGCCTTAGATAAACAAAGAAAAGAACCTGTGTAGAAAGGTGACGTCGTTTCTGACTCACTGGATTTGACAGGTGGCTTCAGCTCCTCGCTGTCTGTGCGACTGGTGTCCACGTGGACCAGCAGGTGCGTCAGACGTCTCACCCTGGAGTTAAAGATTGCTGCTCGGCTTTTGCAGCGACGGGACGACTCCGTGTTTTCTAGGTACTCACTGAGCAGCCAGGACAAGGGGCTGGACGCAGAGGATTCTGAGGAAAAGCAACATGTGATGTCAGAATAAACTTTTCTAAAGGCTTTAAGTTTATAAATATATATATGTGTGTGTGAGTGTGTGTGTGTGTACCTGACAGTGTGATACTGTGGACGATGGGTGTGATCAGAGCCTCCCAGCAGGTTTGACCCAGGGCTTCAGAAGCTTCAGCATCAGGAAGGAATCGATCAGCAAACAACTGTTCATGTTTTAGAGCGCTGTTCAGTCTGGACTCAAAAACACAGAGTGACAATGAACTCTGAGAAAAGTCAGTTTACAGGTTTACACCATCACAGGTTTGGAACCCTAAACCCACTTGTTGAAGAGCTGCAGTAGCTGCGTCCGATCCTCCATCACCTCCTGACACCAGGTGTGGGACTTGGTGCTGTAGAACAGGTAGGTCCGACAACACAGCTGCTCCTTGAACACGGGCCAGAACGTCGGCTTCGGACCCAGGACCTCAAACCCGTGGACCCGAGTGTCGATCCCTCCCTGAAACATAGAGGTTGACGTGAGAATGTACAACAACATCACTACAGCTGTTCCTTGACGGCTCACACTGAACTCTGACCTGCTGACATCTCTTGATTCTGATCTGGATGATGGACCAGAACCGGGTCATGTTCTCCAGGAGGACCACTCGATTTGCTGACGGTACCACATTCACCGTGTTGAGCTCAGTGGTGATGTTTGTTGGGTCGTCTCCGCCCAGAACCACGACCCGCGCTGGCATGTAGCTCGAGTCCTCTGTTGCCACGAGGATGGCAAGTTGTCTGCACACATATGACACTGGTCAGTTCACTGCACTGAAACGGTTAGTAACACAACCAATACCAGTACAGAGTACACACATCAGTACTCTAAAGAGTCAGTGTAGTACCTGTTCACATTTTGTTAGTTATTATTATACATTTATTGATTGTAGTACTGATGAACATATTTGATCACAGATTCTTGGCAGCAGGTGTCACCTCCTCATGACCTCTGTGATCAAATATTCAGTCTTTGTCACGCTCTCAGTACTGATGGAACTATTTTTCACCGTAACGACCCAGATATCGATCAGGGTTAAATCGATACGTCGTGTTTGCATACATCACCTGATAATGACTCCTTTGTGCATGAAGATATTGATGAAGTGCGAGCCTGTGCAACCGTTGGACTCCCAGTACGTCTTGGGGTTCTTATCAGTCAGTTTGTTTGCTCTGTGATGATTGGACGAAACCTCCACCTTCTCCCAGCACTTATCCTCCTTCAGCTCCACACTGGACCCTACACATTCATTTGGTGAAATGAGTATTTTTGACATGTCAGGAGTCCGTTTTTGTAATAAAATAATAACCTGATTACGTTACTAACAGACCACCCAGATCTGAGCCTTCAACTGTGGATCATATCAGTGCTAAGTTGGAGCTCCTTGGACAGCTTCCTGCTGTCAGTGCTGGTCCATTTGGGGTCAGACCCACTAGGAGTTTTAGACATAAGACTGACTCAAGGGTGGGGTCTGGACTGGAGTGTCTACAGTCAGGTTGTATGGAGGATGAACTGAGCTCTGACACTAGAGCAGAGCAGTTTCAGGGTTAACCTAGGGCAGGCCTGTGACGCTATTGGCCAATAGGTAGCGTCCAATCAGTGTTGTATGTCAATAACGTCAATGTTGTCATCAGCTGACCTTGGCACAAGTTCTTGAGAAACACATCAAAGAAGGGGATGTTGATTGGCTGATGGCTGCGGCGGTGCTCCTCGATCTGACCCAGTACCATCTGACAGGAGAAGCACGTCAGCGATGACTCAAAGCCAGAAAATACATCAGTATTTCATGTTGGGTTTTTTTTCTGTTTTTACCTGGATGCAGCCAGCCAGGACGCTGGTGGTCATCTTCTTGTAGAGACTGGCGTACTTGTCACAGTCAGAGACCACATCTCGCAGCTCACCCACCAGCAGCAGGTTGGTGCTGTGCTTGTCCAGAGCTTTGACCAGTGCCTCCTTGGCGCCCAGACGACACATGACCACAGCGTAGTCTTTGTTCAGGGAAGCCAGACGGTACAAAAAGCGGATGAACTGCTGCACAACCTGCGGGACCGATCAAAGGACGTTGGCATACGTAACACAGTGGTGTTTGCGTGTAGTAAGAGCGGCGTCCACTGACCTCCCGATCGTTGATGAACGCAGTCATGGAGGACAGGCATGGCTCGATGCTCTCGTGCCACGGCAGGAGGTCTTCCTGGTAGTTGTCCAGGAACTTATTCAGCATCCTGGAGAGATGATAGCTTCATTATCTCCATGGCAACAGTAGCATATCCACACAGAAATACAGGCTTCGATTCTGAAATACCTGAGGATAGAAAGCTGAATAGCCCGATCTGTTCGATGTTGCTCCATTAGACGAACGAGATCCTGATAAGTTTCACGACTGTGGGTCACCTGGGGGAGTGACCACACAGGATCAATAACTGAGAGAAGACATTAGCGGCAGCCCTGATGAACCAATGACATCTGCAGGTGTGTTTTTTGTACCTGATTCCGCCCCTCCTCCTGTTGCGTGGTGTCATCACAGAGCAGCTGCTCCACCGTCTGAATCACTTCTTTAGTCGCTTCCTTCAAACTCACGACCAACATTTGAAGCTCACACTGATCACTGTCCACTGAAACTCAAATACAAAAAAAAAACCCTCCCTAAATCACCATTTCTTTTCATGTACAACAATTCTAATTGGATGCAAAATCTTTGACATCACTGTGACATCATGAGTCAGCAGTCTGAGGAGTGGTACCTTTGGTCTCCAGTTTGTGGACCATGGAGATGTGATTGAGGGCAACAATAGCGAGCATGGCCTCGGGTCGGGGCAACCGCAGACACTTCCTGAGGACAACGGTGATATTGCAAGCCACCAGCTGTTCCGCCAGAGTCTTGTGATTGGAGATAAGCATGATGACCACAAGGAGGCCGTTACGCACTGACGGCACACAGCTGCACATGGGATCAGTGATTTAAAAAAGAAATCAGTTAGTACACCATCAAAGACATTAAATAAAAAAACAGAATCTAACCAGGACACAGCTAGTCGAAGATCTCCAACATCATCTGATTTCCAGAGTCAGAGAGCGGGAGGCCACTGCCAACGCTGCGGAGGTCATGTTTACTAGCCCCGGTTATGACCTTCAGGGTCTGAGGAGGAAGTCATTAGTGTCAGGGGGTGATTGTGAACATTTGCCTCCTCCAACATTCAGAAGTGACAGATTATCCTCACCGCCAGACCCAGCTGCTGGATTGCAGGGACAGAAGCAAACTCCTGCATGCAGGACAACACGGCTTTGACCCCGCCCTCGGTGGCAAAGGAAACCCTCCACTCGAATTTCATCATCAGGCTGTGAGTGAGTCTGAGTGAGCTGTCCACCACCTCCTTAGACGGAGAAGACAGGAAGTCCACTAGCTGCTTCAGAACCTTGTCTCTGAGGACACAGAGAGGACACAGAGGGGTGAAACATAAGACACAAGGACAAGCACAAAGGACAGAGCAGGAAAGAGAGACGTAGACTGTGTCTCACCGTATGGTGTGGGCAGAGTCACTTCTCGTGTAGTTCCTCTGGACACTCTTGTCCTCCAGAAGCCTGATGATGTAGAAAATGGCTCTCAGCTGCTGAGTGTGGTCTGACCCTGTCTCCGTCTTCTTCAGGGTGTCCACAACCTCACCCATCTTCTCCAACACTGTCTTCTTTCCCTGGACATCCGGGTTGTTGAACACTAGAGGGACGTCAATAAAAATGACGAGTTAAGACCAAAGACTGAGGGACAAAAATGTCTGAGGAAACAAAGCCAAGTCCACACTTGTAGAAACACACTTGTCCAACTCACATTTTATCTTGTCCTCAATGTCTTCTAGGAACCAGCTACCATCCTCTGGGGGCAGGTCACTGTCTGTCTCTGAACTGCCCAAACCAGAATCGTCCTCACTCTCCTTCTTTGGTTTCTTAGAGACGGTAGATGAAGAGGCAGAGTCTGGTGCTCCTCCACCTCCTGCTCCTCCTTTCCCCTGGTCTCCTCCCAGAGCTGATGTTTCAGCTGAAAACAGGAGTTCGTTAGAATGAAATGTTACACTAATGTCAGAAAGTTAAAATAACACTGTAATCATTGCTATCACTAATGTCAGAAAGTTAAAATAACACAGATTTTGCTCCTGTAATCATTTATTACACACACTCTAACCCAACTTCTAAGACAATGGAAAAAGCTTTAATACTTTTAAGTAAACGACAGGTGTAATTACAGCCCAAACAAAGACACAAAATTCTGGCTCTGATTCAGAACCAGGAAATAATTCACGCAGCAGCTTAGAGAGTTGCGTGATACTTATGAGTAAGAGGCGTCCTCACCCAGGAGTTCTTCATCCTCCAGACCTCCTCCTCCTCCTCTCTTCAGGTAATGTTTGGTAAAGGCGTGTGAACTGAACAGGTCACTCAGACAGGACGACGGCAGCTTCTGCTTCAGATAGTGAATCAGTTTCTTCGCCACGTCCCCAGGGACGGTCAGGCTGATGAGGGACACGTCATCCAGCTCATCAATGTCCTGGAGGAGGGGGACAAATTTTATTTGCCATTTCTACTGAAAAGCATCCTCAATATGTCCAGGCTGAAGAGTTACCTGTTCTCCAATGTTCTGGCACAGGAGCTCATTCACTTCCTGCTGCTGTTTCGGCTCTAGCTTCTTTGGTGAAGAACAGAATCTCCCCCCACTCGGCCCGGTTCAGCACAGCTGGCTCTGTCTGCAGGTCTTCTGACAGGTATGGCAGAGAGTAGAGTCCACCAGGAGGCTTGGTGAAGAATGTCTGACTCACTGCACAAAAAAAACATCTGAGTTCAGACAGATGTGTTGTCGGATGGACGGTCAACTCAGAACCCAGCAGCAGGTCTTACCAGTGGTGATTTTGAGCATATCTGTGAGGGTCGAGGCCTTGTCTTGTGACTCCTTCTCAGACTGACTGCCGGCACCGTTGCTTAAAATCTCCACCATGTGCCAGTGAACCCAGTAAGTCCTGGACAATGAGTTCCAGTAAACCTGAACACAAAACATACAGAGAATGGTTCTAATGTGAACAACTTATAATCACAGTGATGTGAAATATGGACCTGGTGTCACAAAGGTCACTGTTTAAGGTTAAGGCCTTGATAATCAATAATCAATCAATAAAACCCATTTGATTCCTCTGGTTTTATTCTCACCTGAACTGGCGGGGAGCCATCGTTGCTGTAGCGAAACACCCCATCATCCCCGGCGTTCACTTCTTCGTAGTCCTCCAGCATACGGACCGTCATGCCGCTCTTCAGGTTTTCCTGGACATACTCCACGTAGGCAGAGCGACTGGCAAAGTCCGATCGTGTTTTGAACCCGTCTCCTGTCTTTTTTTTCTTCGGTGGTATAGCAGGAGGCGCCGACGCAGCAGCGCTGATGGGGAAAGTGAGGGGAGAGGCACAGAACCGAGGCTGGAAGATGGACCGCAGGATAGGACGGGCCGCTTCCTCCACCTGCTCCTCTGCCACGACCCCGCCCTCTCCCATAAGGTAGGCGGGGTTGTCCAGGGACTGGCGGTTCCGGTCCCAGCCCATCACTCTCACCAGCTCTGAGATCAAATTAGCCATCGCCATGGTGAAGTCAAACTCTCGTTGAAGGCGCAGACGCTCTGCCTGGTGAATGGTACCAGTGGAGGACGCAGATGAAGGACAGGGGCTGCCGTCCTGTCTGTCGGAGTTGGACTCCGCCCCCACCGTGTTAAGCTTGTCCATCAATGAAGTAACGCACAGATACCTCTTCACCAATGAGAAGAGAAGCTTCCCTGGAATCTGAGACACAGCAGAGTCAATGTGAAAAACTCACCCACAATAAACTACTGTAAGATCACAAGGGTGTCAGAGGTCAGAGGTCAAGGCTCACCTGTGGCAAGTGGATTCCCTCAAAGGAGATGCCATGTTCCTCAGATGATGTGGTCTCAGCAAACAGCTCCAGGAGAGTGTAGCGGTTGTCAAAGTCCATGTGCTGCTCTATGCCGTCCTGCTGACTGAGGGACAGCAGGACATAGGCACGGCTTCCTGTCAGGACAAGAAATAAACCCTTCAGTCTTGACATGGATTTACAGCACACTTCACTGGGCCATCACCTGTGGCCAGAACTGATCATGACCTCACCAGCTTCACTGGGCCATCACCTGTGGCCAGATCTGCTTCATGACGATCATCACTACTTATACTCATCATCACCTAACCTGAACATGAATCCTTTTATTTTTTTCACCAGAACTCTCGCCTTTCCTCATATTTTTTTTTTTTTTTACATCTAACATGCATCTTCTTTTTTTTTTTACTCTATGACCTGCTACGGACTGAGAAACCTGCTAAAACAAGGCCTTCAGACAGGAACAGCAGCAGCTGCACTAAAGAATCAAAGCACTGTGGCTGTTGTACCTTGGCCTGTTGAGAGTGGGAGTAACTGTGATTAGCATCTGTGATGTGCTGTGTCACTTCCCATTTACAGACAAGTAGTACTTCTGTTCTTCACAACTGAGTTAATTTTATACTCCGCGTCTCAACCACAGAAACAGAAGCCATGTGTGCTAACTGATAGAACGACTACTGAAAAGAGTACTGGTCCCACAAACCAGGTACAGTGCCAGGAGCTACGTACATTAACACCTGAGACACACCACATCCAGAAATGGTGCAAATGCCAGGAATCGTAACAGTACTAGGGATTAATTACATTCACTCCAACTAACCTAGTACTTTTTAGAAACTTGGTAAAGTCCCATGATCCACAGGTGTTTACAGGAACTTCTACAACAACCCAGGCTGGACACGTTTCTACCACAGAGACTACAGACCACACTGAACATGCTACAGGAACCAGTAACAAATTTAAAATAAAATCTTTTCTCGACCCTGCCAACACATTCACTTCTTTCTGCTAAATTACTCCAAGTGGTGCAAAACGTTCAACATTACCTGCGTCGTGTGAGGCAAGCGCCCGGAGCATCTTGCCAGCACTGCGCCTCGTTTGTGTCTCTTTGTTGCACAGAAGCTCCATCAGCAGGTTTAAGGCACCCGTCTCCTTGAAGACACCAACTAGAGAACCGATGCCAGCGTAGGCACTCAGCACATGGATGGTGTGAGTGATGCTGATGGAGTAGTCACTTTTTTTGGCCATTTGTTTTCGTGCTCGCCGCACCAGGTTCTTCACATCCTCCTTCATGTCAGAGAGCTCCACCTCATCAAAGGTGACATCTGAGGGGAATTCCTCAGCACCGCCAGCGCTCATCTGTACTCCATCTGCCGCATCAGTACCGCCCTGCTGTTTCTTCTCTTGGGTTGGCAGGGGGCGCTGTGCATCTGTCTTTCTCTTGCCAAGAAGCATGGGACAGTTTGCATAAACATCTTCCGTTGACATCCACATCAGGATGTTCTCTTGTTTGGTTTCTCCTGAGGTGGAGCTGTTGGACCCGCCCACACCTGAGCTGCCGGCACTCGTCCCATTCACCTCACTGGCTCCGCCCCCAATGCTGGAGTTGTCATCGATGGTGATGAGGCACCAACGAATCAAGTACTCTGTCTGACCATCATGTGTGCGCCGCTGACGAATCAGTTCCTCTGGATACGCCTGCAGCTTTGGACCGAGCTGAACCAGCAGGTTGCCGCTACGGCGTTCACCTGCCATTGTCGCTGAGAAAATACCAAAGGACAGAGGGCAAATAAGAGCAGCAAATTGACAGTTGATGACATCAGCTCAAACAACACTAGACAGAGAACCACTGAGGCACAGCAGAAGACAGAGATGTCAAAGTAGAACCCATGACAATGAGGACATGTCAGTAGACACAGGAGGGTAGAGGGAACGTTAGAGGTTACACAAAAAAGATTTTAAAAAAGACAAGAAATCAGGGCAGCTGAGCCATAAGAGTCAGGCTCAGGAGACACAGGGCATAGGAGACTTTGTCACTCTTGTGACAAGGGATGACTCAAAGAATGCAAATAAAAACACAATTTAAATCAAATTAAAAGGTTTCAAGGTTTTTATGAATAAAGGCTACCAAGAGGCACTACAATTTTATTGGGTTGGTCTCAATGGGGTTTTTGTAGACAAAAAATAATATTTAAGCAGGACTTTTAAAAAACCGTATTCAGCCAGAAAGCTCTAAAACTGTAATATTACAAATTACAAATGTGCCTTTCATAAATTTCAGTCTGCCCCAAAATGCTGATCGGTCTGGATCCGGGCCTGTGAGAGGCTAACACAGCAGCTAACGTTAAAGCCGACTACTCACACACCCCTAATAAATCCAACTGATTAGCCTCGAGCTAAGCTAACTATCCAATCAGATCCCATGAACAACTTTTGTACAACGATCAAACTCTGACTCACAGGACGGTAGAAACGCGTCACACCAAACCCTGGCTCAAAATGTCCATGGTTTTACTAAAGGTCACAATTTTAAACAATGACATCCAATTTAAACAAAAGAACATGACATCATATATCATCAGTAGAAACGTCTGGTTAATTCGGCTCGTCCAAAAAACCCAACTTATCTTCATTGAAAGTTCATGTTCTTTACTTCGGAGACCGTCACCTCCTCAGCTCTGACGCAGGGGAACTGATACGACGTTAGTATAAAAAAGCGAGTGAAACTGTTGAAAAAGTTACATTTCTAACATAGTACACGTCAACAGGCTAAACAAGAGTCAGTCCAATTTAAAGGTGTGATCTCTTAACTGAGTTGAAATCCAAAATGAAAACGTAACTTTTTTTACTTTCACATAACTGTGTATAACACACAGTTCCATTGGTTTCCCACGGCAGCCTGGTACGTGGTTCTCTGGGAACTTGTGTTCTGGTTCTGGCTCAGCTGTGGTAAATATCAAGGGTGGAGAAATGTGGAACTCGGGGTGGGCCTGCCCGGCCAAACAGCTCTCTGGCCACCCGGGTCACGGCACACCACAGACCAGACTTCAGTGGGAGAGCGAGTCACTCTTACCTGCCATGTCACAGACTTTCCCCGCGGATCCACTTATGGACCTGACGCTCACTTTCCTTTTCCTCGCTATGGCTTCGTTTCCCAGACCGTGGCCGTGTGTCTGCTCGGCAGCTCTCAGCTGCTGGATGCGCATTTGCGCTTTGACAGGAAGGGCGGCAACGGCCGG